GTTCGTTGCTTCTATAAACGATCTGCCAGAAGTAGTGTCAAGCCACTGCGTTTGAGCCACTGAGCCGATCACACATTTTGTGTGATCGGCTCTATGTTTGCCGATCACACAAAAGTTTATTATACAGTTAAGAATACGTCAAATAAAATGCAACTGCAAAATGATCTTGATAATTTACTTTACTGGGATGATGCGTTTACTGCTGACAAGTATAATGCACCCAATAATGGGAAGAACAATGAACAGCAGTGTTACAGTATGAGAAGACATGGTTGCAACGAAGGAGTATTATGATTGAAAAGTCTAGCTTAGAAAAAGATTTAGGAGTTTATGTCGACAAGAAGCTGAAAATTTTTAGGTATATTGAAACGCATGCTAATATATTTAATAAACTTCTTGGGCTGATCAAACGCTCCTCCGAGTTCCTAGATACAAAAACGATCAAGAAGCTGTTTTTTGCACAGCGCTCGAACCTAGAGCTTGAAAACGCCGTGTGGTCACTGAAACTTAACATAACATGGTGATGTCGGCGCTGAAGTGTAGGCCTGATGTGGTCTGTCGCCGAAACTTGAAAAGGAAAAAAATACTAGTCTTTAAAGACGTGCATCAAGGATAATTCCAGGCTTTGAGGGCAAATCATACGAAGAAATATTAAAGATTATGAAGTTTCCAAGCCTCTGTTATCGACGTTTGCTTGGTGAACTCATTGAAGTATGAAAGTATTTAGTGTAAGGAATTTGTTGTAAATATTTTTAGATTTTCCCGCCTTCGATCGAAAGCATATAAACGATTTTTGAGGATACCTCATGGCAGTAACTTAACTATACTCCCTGAAATATTTTCGATCAAACTACTTTCCACATGGAGCAGACTATTCATCAAACCTTATAAATTCTAAAATACCAATTGAACGAATTAATTTAATTTTACAATTTGATTTCGAACGATTCCACTTTGCACAGGATATGCTATGACGTCATTCTGCTTCTTAGGAGTAAAACGAAGCTCATGGGAGTTTAAGAAACGGGATTATTCAAGCGGCATCGACGTGTAGTAAAGGAACGTTCGTGGACGCGTATATGTCAAGTGTTATTTCAAAAATACAATACGGTTAAACTAAGAAGTGTAAAACGTTGCACATAATTTCTTATTTTAAGGTGAGAACTTCTCAGAATCATATTCCTTTGACTATACTAATTTTTGTTTATATCCTGTTCAAACACTTGTATATGAGCATTTGGTGCAATCTGTTCTGATTTTTGGAAAAATATGGGTTAGAAAATAAGGCCGTAGTTTGATATTGGTAGATTGATTGAAATATTAAATGCCTGCATGCAGAGTTCGAATTTTTTTCCTACCACAGAAATGTTGAGGGAAATGTGTGGGGTCTAACGTGTCGAATTTTCAACACATATAGAATTTTGTGGCATTATTGTGCAGTTTGATAACAATTATATAGAAAGATATACATTTTACTGAAATGTGGCAGTTTGGGAAATGGATAGAAAGCTCTAATTGCAGCTTGCGACTAACAATTCTACATTGGTTTTAATGCGCAGGCATCCGTATCAATCATTGGCCAAGGTCCGAATTGTACATTCATTTTTTTAGCAAGCATATTGCGGCATTAAAAATTGTGGCAACTTTCTTCCCTGCCGTTATGGCGCACGCGTGCATACATCCCAAAATATACCTTCGGCACAAACGCCACACTTTTCAGGAAAAGGTCCACACTGAAGCAAGATTTTAGAGAGAATTAGGATAATTCCAATTGCAAATTGGAATCATGAACCATGTCACATCTTCTTAATCTGAATTATATATTGACCTAAAACTTTTACAGCAAGCGTTAAGAACATTACCTGCGTCTTGTTCTTGCAAAAACTTTCGATCGTCCTCAGAGGATGAACGAATGTTATCGCACGAAGGTTGTGACTTAGGCGGTTTGGCCATGGAAATTTTCCGTAACAACAAACCCACAACCTTCCAGCAACCCGGTAAGGCAAGGGGCTGGAAGAACCCGTTCGATCCGCTATTACTGCAACCCGTACGATCCGTGATTAGCATCAAGCAAAAGTGCCAATTTATATTTTCATTTAAACGTGGAAAAATTATCAGAAAAGAGTCGCATATTGACTTTGTAATACTGGGAATGGCTGAACTTAAATCATGGTCTGCTCCCAGCACCAATATTATGAGTCCCTAAAAATACAAACAAATATACAAGGAGTAGCGAAAAAATACAAGTAAGGAGTAACTGAGATCGGAGGTCGAATGACGAAACCTGTTAACTGATTTTCGAGCATTACGATGATCTTAAGTTAGCACAAAATTGTTCGTCAAGGAAAGTTTCGTATTTGTAATAAGCTGCTTTTGCTAGAGTTAGTTTAGCAACTGCTGCATTTAAGATAACGTGATTGTCTTAGACAATTCGATAGCCTGTGAGCGACCTTTAATATAGGAGTTTACTTCAGTAACACAAATACGGACATTTCTTTTACCCCCCCCCCTTTACGTAACTCTATTACTTACAGCTCGATCTCTACCTACAGCTACACCCTACTACCGGAAGATGGCACCTTTATATTTATACCCTTCCCTAGGGGGGCAGGACAGATTGTTTTGTTGGGTAATGCCTATTGCTTGAACTATGCGGTGAGGGTCTGAGGGGTGACAGTTCGATACCCTCGCTAAGGGGTAGGAGGTTTTTCAGAAGTGGTTACTTCGTCAGAAGTCCCAGCCCGGGATTCGAACCCTCGACCTTCCTATTACTACTTCGATCTATCCTACTAGCCCAAACCGACGCCTTAACCCAGTACAACAAACTGTGAGCTAGAGAGTTGGAACTTATATTTGAATTGCGTAATGTCACCTAATAAATTATGGAATTATTTCACCTGTAGTGTAGCTAATCGTCAGCTCCCAAAGTGACGGTGTCCTGAAAGCATTATTTGAAAGAAACGCAATTGAAAAGTAAAATATAAATATTAATGAATCAATACAAAAATTAAATGTCACTTATAGCCTTTAATTTCAGAGCTGGTGTTATTATTTTGCTACTAACGACAGGCCGCCATCTTGGATTCCGCGTCCTGAACGCTCATGACTAGTCTACTCATGGTTGAAATAATATTATATAAATATATTAATACAACCATGAGTCTACTTAGCAAGCGCGGCAAGCAACCAGCCCAAACTGCCACCACCACGCCCCCGAGCGTGTAACTTGGCTACCAAAAATTAAAAAGAAGTATTTCCGATGAGTAGAAAGAAGTATTACCATTGGAAGTATTTCCGATGAGTAGGACACGTTTTGTAGGCTGTTGTTCGCAATTGGTATTCAAGAGTCCTTTAGACCTACAACTTTGCAACCGTAAGCACCTCTTTGGCAAGCGATTCATGAGCTAGTTGAGGAAATGCAGATAACCTGTGATAATTGCTTCCGTATGATAATGCAGGGGCCGTATAAATTCCGCGTAATTTGATTTGTTACAAAATTTAACAAATGAAATTGTTACATTTTGAATAACATTTAAAAAAATGTTAATAATGGATTAAATATATTCGAGCATAGAAGATTTTACACAATCTATCAATAAAGAAAATCCAAAATAAAGGATTGAAAATACATAAAATAACAAAAATCCTAAATAAAGTATAAAAAATTAACTATATTGCAGGAATTGCAAGATTTATATGTTAATATAGAAGATTTCATTCCACATATGTCATGGAATTACCTTGTACGAGAGTTGTACAGTCTACGGAATTTGCTCCTGAAATTTAACTACAAAATCTAATCTCGTCTGCTAGACAACTAGTATCTGTTATATGACTTTCTTACAAGATTTTAATTGCATCAGAATGAATTTGAAAGATATTATAGCCCTGTTCGAGTCAAGTAAATTTTGTCACTAATTTCTGGATGAGAAAGATAAATTTATAAAATAAAAAGAAATTGTACAGCATAAGCATCAATAACTGACATCTTTCATGGCAGCTTTCGTCATCCTTGTTCAGTTCCCTACTCTTGAAATTTATAAATGGAAACCATGGATCACAATATGTACTTCATTTATATTAACGGTAATTGCGGCTTTCCTACATCGTTCAACTTAATAAATGTTCGATCGATGCACAATTCAAATAACGAAAAATAATAATTGAATACATTCAAGTTATAAAAATTCATAAGTACAATTTAATATAGAGAATTAATCAATTAGAACAGGGGCTATGAAAAGACCTTTAAGCCTTTGCAAAGACCTATAAAATGGGCCCAAACTTGTTCATGAAATGTTTCATGGTGAGAAGTTATTAACGAATATCACAAATCTACCTGGTACTTTTGAGATCGCAATCTACACACGTGCTCTCTGGTCATGAACGCAATTGACTTTCCTCCTTTCCGGTATGAATGTTATTCAATCCAGTTATTCACCACCTCACCCCCCCTTCTTCTTTTTCTTCATTCATTTTACACTTTTTTCCTTTATAATACACACATCTCACAACAATGTCTCTCATTCGCTTTAGATTACAAAGTTATCTAAAGCGAAATTTATATCTACAATCGCACGTACTGTGAGTAGAATAATGACAGCTCGTGCAAAGCACAATACGCGTAGAGGCGCGGGGTAAAACCGGGGGGCTTTGCGCCCCCCAAATCAGGGGTTTTCCGTCATTGGCAACAAGCTCCGAACTTCTGCAGATATTCTCATTTTACGAACACTTTATAATCTTAAAATTTCTAATTTTTCGGCGACCGACTCTTCATCGCGTGATCGCACTAATAGGTCCTCGTGAGCTCGAGGCGCGCAGGGAAAATCAACTAAAATGTACGGGAGAGAGAAACAACGGCTCAGATTTAGATTCCGGTAAGACAAGTACCGAAAAACTACGGTCACAGAGATAAGGATAACATGAGTTTATCTAACTTTCCATAAATAAAAAATGAGTTGGGAAAACGCGGTTTTTAAGTGGGCGAAAAATACACAGCATAGGATTGAACAATTTATTCAATCTTGTTTAGCATAAAATTCCTGAGGCGCTTTATTCTTGTGGACACTCCCCCACCGTTTTCTTCAGGGATTGAAGCCAGGAATCTTGCAGGTTCTTTTTCATTATTTTTTTCTTTTCTGCAGCAACGTCAAATTCTGTCAATACTATTTTACGTTTTCTAGTTTTGAAAGACTTGGTCAGATGACTCAAGAAGTAAACGGGAGGGTCAAATTTGCCAATACCTTTAATTTTCACTCTAGTAACATTGCCTACTTGGAACATTTCAGACATATTTGGTACATCAGCATAGTCATTTGCATAAAGCAGTCCCATAGTTTCACCAAAAAATTGAACAAAAATTTTATCTGGATGCACCTTAGTAACAACACCTTCGGCTTCTTGGCCAATACAGTTGTCAGAGTATTCGCAAATCGGTTGGAGGTCGGATTTAACGATAAGCGTCTTCAGCGTGAAGATCAACTTGTGTTTCAACTTTCTAGACTCGTTGATTTCAATAGCCAAAACTCGGGCTTCAACAATTTTACCGACCGGATGACGCGAGGAAGGATCGGATACGTTCTTGTCTGTAAGATGCAGACGCGGGACGAAGCCTTGTACGGATTTAGTTCCCCTGCCGCGGCCCGTTGATGTGTATTGAACTACAGCGCCGACGTCCAAGTGGCGGAGGATCTTCACCCGCACGACCTTCCCCACCTTCAGCTCATCAGGAATGCTCTGGAAATATTTATGGCGTCACCGAGCTGATACGATGAATATAATTTGCTCATCAGCTTAGTATATCAATACAAAATAATTTTTTTTTCAATGTAAATAAACTTCACTAATTAGAAACGACTCAACAAACAATCGATCAGAAATAATTTGCACTGACATATTTGAGTCAAATTTAGCTTAATTTCAAATTCACAAAGCTATTACACATAAAAATGATTGTAGGTATATGACATTCAAATCCATCTTCTCTTGTACCATCCAAAATTCATCTTCTCAACATACCGTAATTATTAATGATAAAAACGCATTACAAGGTTAGAGACTCATTGGGTGACTGTTGTAGTCAGAAGAAAAAACTATGATGACTAATTACAAAATAACAAGGTGTGAGTGATGCTACTAACTAATTGTATGTCTCAGAAACATAAAAAATTCAGATATTGACTTTATTCGTGATCCAATTCAAAAGTCAAAACAATCATGATAAGGAACAGAAATTTCAATAGGTGTGCAAGGCTTAATCGGGAATAAACCAAATATTATGTGTGAATCTGATGGTACCTGTTGGTCCTTGATGTCCGCTGGCTTGAGGCTCACAAAGAAGATTTGGTCAAAGGGGTTGAAGAACAGCAGCTTGCATTCAACTTTAGTACCCGATTGATACTTTTGAGCAAGTTTCCTAGACTTAAGAGCCTTGGGTAATTTGTTGAGAGGACAGAAAGCTCGACATTTTGCAGACAGGCGCAAATTGACGCCGAGGTCACAAGTGTCGATCACAGATGCGTCCGGCACCACGGTGTCCAAGACCAGGCCGTGCATAGGATCTTCTCCAGCAGGTAAACTGAAAATGATCCGAGAAGTTTTAAAACTACTCAAAAGCATCATAAAAAAATATAGAAAATATCTCAGTATATTTGTTGCTTCTCAGGGCTACATAAGGGGTATTTTATAACGCATTTTATTGGCTTAAATTACGCACATTTGATAGTCTTTACTTGTAACTTTTCAGGATGAAATTGCATCAATTTCAATACACCAAGTTTGTACTACAGATAACGAGGTCCTAATGAGAATCATAATCATATACAATGATTGGTAGTCTGAAAAAATGACCATTGTTAGGTGCGCCAAAAAAAGAAGCATACATTAACTTGAGAAATTCAACCATACCAATTTCAATTGTTCAAAACAGATTAAGTAGGAAAAAATCAAGCAATACTATACAGCTAGAAATAACCTGCCATTACGGCAAACATATTCTAAATAATTTTGGCTTTCAGTTTTAACCTAGAATGATTGCGCAAAATCCACAGACATTTAAAAACTCACAAAAAACGTTTAACTACAGAAACCCTACAAAATGTGGCCACTCACTAGTTGTTGCAGACAGTCTTGTTGAGGGTGAGATGCACAGTACGTGGCATACCAGTGACCAATAGCACCTTGGCTACAAGCTTCTGTCCCACCCTGAAGAGATGGCACTGATCGTAGGGACCTCTCAGATGCATGGCGCTAATCATGCCAATTTTACTTGCTGCCAACTTCGTCTGGGGTAACTCAGAGTCTTCAGGGTACAGGCTGCTGTAGTACTGTTCTTCAGAGCCCAAATGTACAGCGAGCCCATCAACATTGCTCTGAAGTGGATAAAACTTATTAGGTTTCGAAGTACATAAAATTTTATTTCACAGAAAAAAAGTGCCACCTTCATAGACGTGATGCTGTACACCTCTTAGTAAATCATCACAACTCGTTGCTGAAGCATCGCAACTTGCTTCACTATCAGATCCAGCTTATTCAGCAGAACTTGTTTACCTCAGAGACGACGCACACAACAGAAGTGCCAGGTAGCAGGAGGTTGTACTTGTCATCATCAAAAGTCTTGTTGGCTGCAGCGACAACTGTCTTAGGATCAGCTGAGAGTGTCAAGCTCAGCGCGTTCACGTCACCAGTGACGCTGACGATGCAGCACGGCAGTACGCTGCCCACCGCAACCAGCTTGTCTGTGCAAACATATCGATATATGTTAGATAGAGTGCCATTGAAATTAATGGTAAAATTAGAATACAATTATCCCATGCTCTCATCCCCTGTAAGTTTTCATTTTCACCTTAGTATAAAGCAAAAAAAAAAAAAAACTCGAAGGAGATATCTAAATATTTACTGGTTGCATATGTACATCATCATTTTGTTAATAATGCCTGTAGGAATTACTAACAAAAGCTAGGTCATTTTATAAAATGAGCTGATTTACTTATGTCAAATGATGCAATATGACCAATTTTTACCAATTCACCGAAAATTAGGTGTTTGCAGTCTACATTTGTCGTTGGTAATGTGTTATTGAAGTTTACTTTCTGCTAGATAATTTTTCCACAAGATTCCAAGTGGAACTGGTGAAGCATGTGTTACTGTTTTCTTACATTTGAATGATGCTGGCAATTCAAAGACAAAATTTAGACAACATATTCTGATGTCACTGACAGCAACACTGGTACATCTGCTGCAGAAGCTGCCTTTTAGTTTAGCATGCAGACATCATGTTCATAAACAAATTATACATACAACTGTTTTCAATTTGGTAATGGGATATTCCAGTTGTCCATGTCTCAAGCTGTTTGATCACATGTGTGGAGTCAGATAGACAAATCGAAACCGGAAAGAGTGTGCATGATGCAAAAGTTTACGCCAACCTGAAATGAGAAACTGAATTCATCATCAAATTTTTTTCAAAACCAGCTTCTGATATTCCAGCCCAGAGATGATCACAAAAAATTATTGCAGTTGGCACTGATATTTTTGGTGACAAGTTAACTGCTGTTGATATTGATGCTTCAGGTCCTAATCACAAAGCCCACCTATGCACTAGATGGGAAAATTTATCGATAGTTAGAAAATTTATCTATCTGTTTTGGTACTAGTTTCATCTTCAACATTCTAAATTCAAAGGTCTTCAACAGTTCAATGTGTTTACTGTGAAGCTGAATCTCAAAGCATGGTACACCAGTACCGGTATGTCTGCTGCATTTGCTCCACGAACTCATTTGCCATAGCTGAAAGATCATGTTGCCTATAAAACAGTTGATAAGACAATTTCCTGTGCAGCTATGAAGACATGTACGTGCCATTTATGGTAGTTGATTGAAATTCTTGTGGGACTTGCTTTCTTTGATATAAAAGTTACTGATACAGACAAGTGCCAAATAGTACATCAAATGTCAAAACTTGGTGAAAACTGTCGTGCACCTTGAGTTGAATATCTGGACGAAAGTACCATGTCTGAGTTGACTCTGCCAGACTTTGTCTCCACAAACACACAAGTTTTTTTGCAGCTACCGGTATGCAAATTGAGACTTAATTTCTGTGGCGGGATCCTGTCACCTGAAGCAACATTGAACATTAATTGTCAAAAAGTGCAGCAGCAGTATATTGTGAATGATGCTGAAAAAGGTGGTATTTCCATGACAAAGAACTTCAACACTGTGATCACTAACCAAGAGTTGTTACAAGCAGTTTCATCTGTTACTGTTGAGAAATTTTCAAGTGACTGAAATAACTGGGCTCTATTACTATGTAGTAGGTCAATGACAGAAATGCACTAAAGCATTTCAGTGGAGTATTACATTGAACAATGTTTAGGTAACTTCAGCTGTTTGGCGTTTTGCAGAAACTGTTGACGTAATTGGTTTTAGCCTGACTTGTTAGAACTTGGCCTCCTTTGTGCAAAGAGTAAATCCTGTTTTGATTGGAAAAATTGTTGGCATGAGCACCCAGACTACCTATGTAGTGGAACAATTCTGGACCATGAGACTAAAATAAATTAAACATTTTTTTGCTTGGCATCCTTGTTATAAGGGCTTAGCAACACTCGCATAAAACAAGAATACAACCTAAGAATACAAACCGAAAGCAGATTAGAAAAGAATATTATCTATGATATGGGTTAGGGTCGTTAGCAAAAGCCAATTCGACTCATTCAGAGCTTTGTTCAGCAAGAATGCATCAATGCAACATCCTGAAACAAAATTACACTGCTATAAAAACAGTATCACAACAACGTAAAGGGAATCTATGCCTCTGTGAATGTCTTGCACACACAGAAACTAATTACAGAATACTTACATGGAGAACAGTAGTTCTAGGTCTTGACGGTAAAAGAGCCGAGACAATTCTAAAAATAGTCATTAGTTCTAGAGTGAAGTCACTTACTAGAATAAAATACATGTAGTATGGAATACGATGTACATGTGAGCGCTACAACAGAAATTTTATGACAGTTAAAGATATCCAAAAACTCACTGTAGTAAAAGCAATATATACTGTTGACATTAACCAGTCAATTTGTACACAAGTAAGGTGTAGCAAGTGGATTCTTTAATGTCAGCAATGTAATTCTTTACAGTTATTTATTCAATACTAAATTACTGCTTAGTTATCAGAATCAGGAAATAGCAAATAACAGGGGAAGTTGAGGTGATTCAAGTACCCTTCATGCGCTAAGAAGAAATAAGAGCTTACCTCGAGGCACATCCTTTTCAGGGAGGAAGGCAGCAGCAACACCTCTGACGCCAGTGTCCATTGTGTAGCCGTGGTCTTCACATGACGTTACAGAGCACTGGAGCACACAACCACTCCTCAGGGCAGATGCATTCACACTGCTACCATGTACATCATTGGGGTACAATGACAGAGCCACACCCATAGTTTCTGAGGGAAATTTAAGACATACGTTTAGTTATTAACCCATAAAGCTGAGGCAGAACTCTGGCATGTTCAGGGACTACTAGGTCCGAAACACATATAGTACCAAGGATACTAAGGACTAAGGATACATGGATTCTGAATCCCACTCAGCTAGGTCAATTATAAAGAAAAGTTGGGGTATGCTTAGGAGAACTCACTTTGTTTTTTGCCTGGGTGTACATCATCCTCAGAAGTTTGAGTAGGAGCAGCTACAGTGGCAGTGAGGTATTGCCCAGGCCAGTACAGCTCAGGTAAAGTGTGTGCAGCTTCACTTGTAGGCTTACCATCAGCCAGCTAGAGAGGAGAAAATTTTGATCAATCAAGTGCAACAAATAAATATATGTTCGTATTATTTTCACAAAATTTAATAAAAGTTAACATTTCTCATGATTGGCAAATGACATGACCAGACTTCTCAAAAATGGTAGAAGAAGGGGTGCTTAAATGGCTCCCTTTCAAGACAATTAACAGAAGCAGGTTTCAAAAAGTGTCAGATTAAGAGTGCTTATATGTATGTAAAACATGACGATGCATCAATTTCTGACCTGATGCATGAGTTTGGTGTACTGAGCTGAGATGTGAGTGAGTGGTATATGTCCCTTCATCCTGTAAGGCAGCGTCACACAAATTCTGTCCGTGAACACTTTGGTGACGCAGCATCCCACAAGGCTGCCCATGCTCAGATCCTAGGTTTGGATGAATACATAAAAAACAGTACATCTATAGTCTATGGCTAAAAGAATAGGTATTCATTGAATTTAGATAATTAGATGAAAAAATTGCATACATCAATGGAGTGAACTGATTAGTTACGGTAGTATGGTACAGAATTTATTTTAACTAAAGATTAAGGATCACGTAAGAAACTTTTGGATCAATGTTCATGAGGAGCATGCAATTTTGAAATTTGTCCAAACACAATTGATAATTAATTTAATGAAAATCCAAAATGAAATAATTTTCACATACAAATAATAGCTTCTTAGTAAAGATGTATATTTTCTGACACAAGAACAAGGCATAAAAAAATTGTAGATTCTGCCACAAATCAAAAATGCAAATTAGAAAGGGCCTAAATCACTCTTATAATCAGAGATAAATTATATTCATTTAGGATATTTTGACAACATGAACAGCTCATATTAAGCCCATTTTTTATTGACAAGATAATACCAAATACTCCCGAGATCTTGTGCATTTAGGCTGACTAATATAGGTACCGGTACTAGTATTAGAGTACCGTAATATCTCTATTCTCAACAAAGCATCACTAATAAGTAATTTTCTACACAAAATTACACATATAAATACCTTGTAAGATACTTTTAATCCTTGCTGCACAAAGTTGTGAAACTTTTTCTTGTGTTCCTTGGTGCGAGAAGCAAGTTGCTTTATCTCCTGAAGAACTTCATCTTCCCCATCAGATGCTGGTGCAGTGTTTTCCAACACCTTCTCTGCCTTCTTTTTGGATTGCTTCTGTACCTGGAACATGAGGTTGAACTGCATAGAAACTTGTCATTAAAATTATACATTATGGTCAAGTTATATCATAAAAAAAGGTTTTATGGCAAATAATTGTGTAGCATATTAAAATAATCTAATATGGAGAATATTGACAGCTCACAAATGTATACCTATACATTCAAAATAACTCACAATAAAAGTATTTTCTGGGGTTTGACGGATTACTAAACATCAATAAATAACTATCACCAAAAAGCTTGCTAGTTAGAATTAGTAATATTATTATTTATGCACATTTTGCTGCATCAATGTCTATATTTGTATTTTGTATGACACACATTGCTCCAATAATCTAGTTATGAATTGGAATGCAACATTCGACAAGTATTTTATCCCAAACTATAAGGGCACATAAATCATATTTTTTGGAGCTCAATAATATATTTTGGTAAGATACGGTATAATTCATCTAGCAGGAGTATTGAGGCTTCAAAAAAAAAGAGTCTAAAAGCTCTAGTCGTAGTTCTGAAGTAGACATTTTCTACAAATGGCATATGAGGCAGATACATGTCTTACTTGGACTGGACTGAGATGGAACTTGAGCCTAAGGCTGGGCCTATCTAATCTATAACAACAGGCAGAATTCTACATAAAATGCAGCCTTACAGGTGATTTTCAGAAGTCACAGGCAAAAATGTCTTTTTATAAATGGAATTAATGAGAGAAGGGTCATAAAAAATGAAATTGACTGAGCACTGCCATGGCCTGTGCAGTAAATTGAAATTTGGATTGAAATTATTGCATTTTAGATGCCGTCAAACAAGGTAATAATGGACGGTTATGAGCATTTTTCATTAATAACTTCTTAACATGAAACATTTCATAAATAAGTTTGGGTTCATTTTGTCAAGTTTTGTGAGGGCTATCTTATGGCATTACCAAAGAATGCCATATGCTATTTGTTAAGTGCCAACCACAAAAAAAGTGTCACAAATTACCTCTGGAAACTGGGTAATTTGGGACATTCTAAATAAAGCCTAATTTTAAAATGTTTGAAGCATGCAAGTGTACCGTCAACCGGGGCTACTCGGGACGGTTTTGAGCGTTTTTTGTTAATAACTTCTTACGATGAAACATTTCATAAACAAGTTTAGGCTCATTTTATAGCTCTTTGCGAGGGCTATCGAATGGCATCTTCAAAAAAATTCCATATGCTATTCGTAAGGTGCCAGAAGCAAAAAAAGAGTGTCCCGAATGAATGAAACTTCATTTTAAAACACTTGAAGCATGCAGAGCGTACTCATCCCTTACTAACAGTACTCTGAAGTCTGCCTCTTTCATTGTAGATGATGTAGAGGTAGAATAAATGACATTTTCTGTAATTTTTACTTGTTTTTCCTTTATTGATATGATATTGCCATATACATTAATTACCGCATTATTGATGTGCAATTATCGTATTATTGATGTGATATTACCGTATCCATGAACATGCCATTGAGCATTTACAACAACCTTGTCCACTGCAAGCTTCGAATCAGCAGCCTTATAGCATTTTTTTCGTATCTGTAAGCTTACGGGACGGCTCGTAATTTCACATCATTTTAATTGAGTTAAGTGAATTTACTATAGTAAAAAAGATCGTGAAAAACATACCTGAAACAGAAAGGAATATTTTAGTGACAACCAACGTATCTTTTGGAGAAATAACTCGTAGTTTAGGTCAATTACTTTTCATTCTATGCTGCCTGGTGCACAATTCTATACATGACATGCTATGCACAATTTTGTGATGACTGATGATGCACTAATTTTTCGATAAGTGAAATTTTTTCACTGAGCAAGGAAAATGTGATCAATATTCTTTGTTTTTAATCAATTTTTTTCGTAATTGGAGCTTTTGCTAACTGAGGTTTTACCGTAAATGCGTTTTTGGAGGTGTCCCGACTAGCCCCGGGGGGTGGCCCGAGTAGCCCCGCTGTGCGGAAATGGCCGCCATTTTTTTTTTTGAATGAGATAGGCAAAATCTGCCAATTACGTTTTCAAGCCGACACCTGGGTGCAACTTTTATGTAAGTAAAATTTTTTAATACAGCAAATATTTTTTTTGCTACAGACCTTAGAGCTACTATAACAGTTTTACGCCGTGTCGGAGGTGCGTCCCGAGTTGCCCCGCCAGTCCCGAGTTGCCCAGGTTGACGGTACTTATCCATTACTAACAGTATCAAAAAGGCTCCTTCCTTTGTAGATAACGTGGATGTAGAATAAACAACATTTTTTGTGATTTGTACTTGTTTTTCCTTTATTGATCATCCCTTTATTGGTTTCATCACTCATAGCCCTGGGCTGTCTCATTACTAACCAAATAATTTTCACCTTTCATCTACATGTACCATTGAGTTTAATATATTTTTGCTTGGATCTTCCTGTTTGTTCCCCTGAGTTTGTTTTGCTGGGCTTCACATACTGGTAATATACCGGCCAGACCATTGACCTTTAGAGGGGCTGACCCCCAATAACACCTTAACAAATAAGTGTCCCATTGTTAAAAAATAGCGTTTTCAAGCTGACAAAGTGGGGTAATTTTACCTCCCACCCCCCACACTTTTCAGTGAGTAGCACTGGAATTCTTCAGCCTTACTGGTGGATCTAAATGCCCAACCCCTCCTTCCACTATGAGATATACATTTACCCAAGTCAGAATCGGTTCAAATTCAAAAAACTTATCGGGGGAAGAAGAGCTAAAAATTACCTATCATTCATCAGGTCCATTAAAATTAAAGCCAAAACAGAAATAACCAACCATGCTTGCACAATGGCATTGTGAATTAATAGTTTTCTTTCTAATTTGGTAAATATTGCTTTTGATTTCATGAGCTTATGTACCATCAAACGAGGTAAAAAGGGATGGGAAGGGTAAAAAGGGACAGTCCTGCAACATTTTGTAGAAATGTTGTAGCATCTAAACTAATTAAAATATTGCAAAACTAAAAATAGTGGTGTAACGTTCAACATTTTTACTATCTATGCAGCATTAAGCAAGTTGAGAAATCATATATTTATTACCTCTAAAAAATCCCTGAAAAAAAGTGTGAAAAGTTGAGATTCTGGAAAAATACCTCTGCTAAGGTCTGTAGCAGAAAAAATATTTATATGTAGAAAAAAAAAATTTTACTTACATAAAAGTTGCACACTAGTGTTGGCTTAAAAACAAAATTGACAGAATTTGCATATCTCATTAAAAAAAATGGTGGCCATTTCCGCAAAACGGGGTAGGAAGGGACATTCCCATGGGGTAATAAGGGACACCCCTAAAATTGCATTTACAGTAGAACCTACCTTGGTTAGCTAAGGCACCAGTTAATGAAAAAATCAAATAACAACAAAGAATTTTGATTACATTTACCTCGCTCAGTGAAAAAAATTTCACTTAATAAAAAATTACTGCAGTCATCACAAAATTGTGCATAGAATGTCACAGATAGAATTGAGTACTGGGCAACAAAGAATGAAAATTAATTAACCTAAACTATAATTTATTTCTCCAAAAAATATGATGGTTGTCACTAAAATATTCCTTCCTGTTTCAGGTGTTTTTTTACAATCTTTTTTATTATAGTGAAATCACTTGACTTGATTAAAATTGTGCAAAATTACAAACCATCCCGTAAGCTTACAGATACAGAAGAATTGCTACATGGCTTCTGATATGAAGCTTGCAGTGGACAAGGTCATTGTCAATGCTCAATGGCATGTCCATGGATACAGTAATATCACATTAATAATACAGTAATGTATGGATTAAGTAATATTATATCAATGAAGAAAAACCAAGTATAAAATCACAGAAAATTTAATTTATTCTACATTTACATCATCTACAAAGGAAGAGGAGGACTTCAGAGTACTGTTAGTAATAGACTAGTACACTCTGCATGCTTCAAATGTTTAAAATTGAGTTTTATTTCAAGTGTCACTTTTTACCCCATTTCCAGATTAATTCAGGAGCCTTTTATATTGCGTCTAGCACCTTACAAATAGCATATGGAATGTTTTTGGAGATGCCATACAATAGCCATTGCAAAGACCTTTAAAATGAGCCCAAACTAGTTCATGAAATGTTTTATGTTAAGAAGTTATTAACAAAAAAAACACTCAAAATCATCCCTTTTTACCCTGTTTGACGGTACTACTGGAATACCGTAAAATGGGGTAACTTGGACCACTTTTTTTCAAAATGATGCCATTTTTTACTGGATAAGTTAAACTTAAATTGAAACATGCAAAATACAGGTCTATACTCTAGCTTTACTCACCATTAATTGCTGGCTCCTGCCTCTCATAGTTTTGATGTAATTTCAAAAAAAAGTGATGGTCTTTGCTACCCCAGCTCTTGGGGTTTCTTTGACCGGGTGGTAAAATCAATTTTATTTTTTGGTAAAATAACTTCAAATAACTTCAGGTTATGGTGCATTGTAGTAGAACTCTTCTAGTTACATATGCAAAAGACAAATTTTAGGAAAATGTCATAGTTTGCAAATGGGGGGCGCTGCCCCCCAATGGGCGAAATGTGACCACCTAATGGCAGCCGTGACAGGGTAACATTGACCGGTTTGGAAATTAAGTTAAAATTACCATATATAAGACTCTGTAGAGTCTGAAACACGGTTTGGAAATTAAGTTAAAATTACCATATATAAGACTCTGTAGAGTCTGAAACATAAAGAAAAAAAACATCAATAGGTGTACCGTCAACCGGGGCTACTCGGGACGGTTTTGAGAGTTTTTTGTTAATAACTTCTTAGGATGAAACATTCCATAAACTAGTTTATGCTCATTTTATAGCTCTTTGCACGGGCTATCGAACGGAATCTTCAAAAAAATTCCATATGCTATTCGTAAGGTGCCAGAAGCAAAAAAAGAGTGTCCTGAGTAGCCCTGTCAAACAGGGCTACTCAGGACACTGGGAATAAAACTTCATTTTAAAATATTTGAAGCATGCAGAGCTTACTCATCCATTACTAACAGTACTCTGAAGTCCTCCTCTTTCATTGTGGACAATGTAGAGGTAGAATAAATGACATTTTCTGTGACTTTTACTAGTTTTTCCTTCATTGATATGATATTACCATAAACATCAATTACAGTCAACTGGGGTGACTTCCCCTGTGTTTTTGATTCATGCTGGGGTCATAAATGCGGGGTCGTAAACGCCGGGGTCATAAACGCCAGGGTTGTAAACCAGGTCATAAACGCCTGAGTGACTTTGGCCACTGTTTATGACCGTTTATTACCCCACTTTGGCCATCATTAAGAACATGGCCTAATCACCCAGTTGACCTTACCCTATTATTGATGGGATATTACTGTATTATTGATGTGATATTACACTTGAGGGAGAGTCTAAAAAACTCTCTGCTTTGCCACTATGCTTTACTTGTCTACTTATAGGACTCAAAAATGAACTTGAGGGAGAGTCTAAAAACTCTCTGGTCTCTGCTTTGCCACTATGGGTCAAACCGTCAAAGTGACCCCATTTTACAGTACACGACTAGTGATGTATTGGAGGGAAGAGTCGCCAAATTTTTATTGGTTTTCTAACCACACGCAAGCAAGTTAGAGGAAGTGCAGCTGTCCGGCCCAGTCCGGGTGTCCGCAGTTTCTGACGAGCTCAGTGTAATAGTATCAATTGTCAGTTTGTCACTTCGGTGGAAGGTGCAAGGTGGTAAATTTTTCGATATATTTTCTTTGGTTAACATGATAATATATTACCTATACAGGGTGTCATACTGTCTAAGTATTAAATACTGGCAATCTGGCATTAGGCTTCATCCCACATCAAATGTAGCCAGGTACCTATTCAGAATTTTTCACACCAATTCTACTCACAGTCCACACTGCATAGTGGCAAACCAGAGCTTTTTTGGAATCAGTTCATTCTTAATTTCCTCAAAAACTCGAGATTTAAACCAATTTCTTAAGTATGATAATGCTGGTATCCATGATACTATCCATGATGAACTTGAGGGAGAGTCTAAAAAATTCTCTGCTTTGTCACTATGGTCCACAGATTTGTTGGAGAATAATTATAGCTATCCATAATTTATGGCTCACGTAGGTATCAACCAATATACAAGAAAGTGAAGAAACTCATCCTTATCAAAGGTCAACTGAACATGAATTTAGTATACAAGATTTATATAACTTACAGAGAAAATGTCCCGGTCCTTCTTGGAGCGGATGACATTGTCTTCTTTTTCATGTATAACAGATCTAACTTTATTTTTTAGTAAGCGTTTAGCACGGACCATGACGATCAATTTAATAGCTCAGGTCAAAAGTAATATTTCGGGGAGCATAAAGTAAAATAGAACTCGATATTTGATCGCGGTGCTTCACTCACGATCCCGAACATAAACCTACGTCCTACAGCTTACAGACAGATAACTTCACACAACTGCGCCAATCGCCACACGTTTTTGTTGCCATCTCTTCGTCCAGGTATGGCATATCGCAAGAAGTAAATATCGCGAAATCCTAGCAAGCTCCTCTACACATCTGCAAATGCAAATGCGCGTTCATCTTAATTTTAATTGATGCTCGAAGGTTTTGTGTGAACAATATATTATTTACTCATGCGCAATTGTACGCTGCACAGGACCATCACAATTTAAAAAGTAAATAAGGAATCTATTTATGTCGATGCAAATGTTTTCTTTAAATAATACAGGGTTAATGAAACAGGGACCCAATTTAATAAATTCGTATATAATTTAGAATGAATTCAAATGGATAATTATAACAGCAATGGAAAAAGAAGGCTTTAAAGTTTTTTCCATTTTTATAAAATGTTTAATATGTTTAATAATTGTTTAATATTTAAAAAAAAAACCTTGAAATAAGGAATTTCGCCGTCCGACTGCAAAGAAGCTCAAGTAACACCATTGTTCAAAAAAGGTGACATGAGCAGCCCCGGCAACTATTACCCTGTCAGTCTGACAGGTGGTGTTTGTAAGCTAATGGAACCTGTTGTGAGGGATAGGATTATCGATCTCGTGACTGCTCACAATCTACAATCAGATTGTCAACATGGTTTTATTGCCGGTAGATCCTGCACCGCTAACTTATTATCTACGTTGAACGATTGGACTCGCCTGCTGGACGAAAGGGAGCCAGTGGATGCATTGTTCCTCGATTTTGCCAAAGCATTTGACAGAGTTCTGCATGAGCAGCTGTTGCGTAATGTGAAGTCTTTTGGAATTGAGGGAAACGTACTCCAATGGATCAGAGATTTTCTAGTAGGTAGACGACAACGTGTCAGTATTAACGGAACCGTGTCAGACTGGGCATCAGTGCGCAGTGGCGTGCCACAAGGAAGCGTCCTGGGGCCTATTTTGTTCGTTGCTTTTATAAATGATCTGCCAGAAGTAGTATCCAGCGTGTGCTCCATGTATGCCGACGACACAAAAGTTTATAATACAGTGAAGAATGCGTCAAATAAAGCGCAATTGCAAGATGATCTTGACAGCTTAGTTAACTGGGCTGATACGTGGCAGCTGCGGTTTAATGCTGACAAGTGTAAAGTACTTCACCTCGGGAAGAACAATGAACAGCAAGATTACAGTATGAGAAGACATGGTTGCAACGAGAGAGTAATGATTGAAAAGTCTAGTGTGGAAAAAGATCTCGGAGTTTATGTCGACAAGGAGCTGAAATTTTCTAAGCATGTTGAAACGCAAGCTAACACATCCAACAAACTTCTTGGACTAATCAGACGCTCATACGAGTTCCTAGATGCAGAAACGATGAAGCAGTTGTTTGTTGCCGTCGTACGCCCGAGTCTAGAGTTTGGAAACGTTGTGTGGTCACCGAGATTTGAAAAGGACAGAAATTTAATAGAGAATGTTCAAAGACGTGCAACAAGGATAATTCCAGGCTTGAAGGGCAAGTCCTATGAAGAAAGATTGAAGATTATGAAGCTTCCAAGCCTCAGTTATCGACGTCTGCGTGGGGACCTCATTGAAGTATACAAGTATACTCATGGTCTATACAAGGTCCCTGAAGGGTTACTAGAATTTGAAACAAGAACCAACACCAGGGGCCACGGCTATAAGCTAAAAAAATTGCGCTGCAACTTCTCCACGCGACAAAATTTCTTCTCGCTTCGAATCACCGACATGTGGAACAGCCTCCCCGATGACATCGTTGGCGCTCCAAGTATGAACGCGTTCAAGAACAGACTAGATAAAGCTATGGAAAAATATATGTTCAGATTTGAAATGCCTAGCTCCTTATCGAACCCGGTGGAGTCTAGTAGCTCCTTCAAACTATCGTCAGTCATGAAAAGATCCGGTCAAATGACACGATTTTAGATCTTCTGTGAACAAGGCACGAAATGGAAAAGAATCGGCGACAGTCCACATCAGGCCTACGCTTCAGCGCAGAGATCACTATGTTATGTTATAATAATATAATTTACCAAAAATAGTCATTCAGGGCCTAGGAGGCCCCATAGCCAATATAAATATAAGCTATACAGTGCAATAATGGACAAATGGCAATAATAATCCAAATGAATTTCCTCTTGAATTTTTCTTCCCCTTCATTCCATCTCATCCTTAATACAAACTTTTACACTTCTCTAGCCTCTCCTTTTGATATCGCTTTCTCCTGGCTTGGTCTCATTTTTTCCTACCCATTAACAAATGAATATGCGATGTGTGGCTGATGGCCGTTGCAAAGGCCTGACCCTGAAATGACTTTTTACACAGATTCACTACGCCCCAAATCTAAATCCGGCAAAGTAGGATTGGAGCAGTGAGTTACGTATTCGAGACCGCAACAAGCTTTGGATGTTCTGCGATGTTATGAATCAGCGAAAAGCATATTAATGATATGACCTAATAAACGCTGAAACTGATATTTATCATTTTAATTAGTACACGTTTAACTAAGTAGCAGCGGCAGACTGCCGTGGTGCCATGGTTGAACTATACAAGGTTGACCCACGAGAAGTTTCGTTTTTCAGTTCAGCTTACTTGTTACGTCACTGAGATCGAGAAACGTAAACAAACCCGTCATGCCAATGTTCTAAATATTTTCGTTTGAGGAACGAAAACAATCTAATTAGAGCTCGGAGTTTTAGGCTGTTTGCTTTATCTCGCTTCGAGTCACTGACATGTGGAACAGCCTCCCTGAAGATATTGTTGACGCTCCGAGTATGAACGCGTTCAAGAACAGACTAGACAAGGCCATGCATGAGCATATGTTTCGTATGAACGCGTTCAAGAACAGACTAGACAAGGCCATGCATGAGCATATGTTTAGTCTTAAAATGCCTCGTACCTTACGGAAAAACTGATATCTAGAAGCGATTTTAAATCTACCGTCCGTAAAGGTGCTTGTACACGGGGATAGTGCAGACGGCTAGTAAATCTGGCTAGTGTCGGTCGCTTGGTGACTATCCGGCTAGTAAGCCTGTACACACGAGGAGAGTATAAGGTGCCGCTATCTTCTCGTTCGCGCCCGCCAGTGAGTTGTTAGAAGCCGTCGAGTAAGGTCTGTGAAGATGGATAGTGTGATCACCTTCAACAACTCGAGGCTGTACGTTTTTTTTACACTCCATATTCTATCCCTTAAAAATACAGCGTCGGGAACAACTAAACCCTGACTAATAAGGTCTTCTTTCTGTTTCAAAATACTCGTTTCTCTCTTCATTTTGTTGGAGTAACCATCATGGAAAACATTATACTTTAATTCATATTTTTGGAATATTTCAAAGAATAATTGAATATCGTCTGGAATCCACTTTGTTGGATTCCTCTTAGAAACATTAACGTTCAAACAAGCCATGATTTACGTGAACCAAGATACTTCACAGGAGCGGCACAGATGCTCTCACTATGGCTGCATCAGCGCTAATAGCCACTGCTCCAGCCAAGATATCAACACATCGTTGTCTCTCTCGGCCCCGCCTCGGGCACTTGCCGGCGCATGCCTCTGAAGCGGCTGAACCCCTATACACGAGGCTAGTAGCGTGGACAGTTCAAGCGCCGGATGAACTAGCGGCTAGTACTATCCCTGTGTACAGGCACCTTAAGGCCAGTCTAGTCAAGAAAAGTACAAGAATCGGTGACAGGCCTATCCAGGCCTATTCTTTAATGCCGAAGATACTATACTATACTATACTATTCATCTATACTATGCTCATAATGGATTGGTTGACTGGTTTGAACGCATTTCAGTGATCGGTAAATGCCCGTGACGTCACTGAACGAATGATCCGATAAACTCAAGAATTATAATTTCATAACACCATCATTTGGAATAGCAAATAAATTTGCAGGAGGTCACAGTTTGTACATTTAAAACGGCAACTGAGTACTGACACGTCAACGGAAGTATATTCTCTGTAATTTTATTGATATTTCAACAATACGAGGTTGCAGTAATTTCATCATTTGGGAACTAAGTTCAAAATTTTTATTTACAGTTGATCTGTCACATAAAAAATCTAGCTCACGTCTTGGCATGTGCATCAAATTATCTAGCGGAATTTTTAAAATTCAGATTTTAGCGTGAAAGTTATCAGAAAACTTGGCAACAAAGGGGTTGCCTCGGAATAATAACATAGAAGTCCGCGAATTGATCGCGAGTGCGGATTCGGAGTTCTGTTCTAACTGTTGAGGCAAGAGGTTCCTTGTGCTGAGCTCCCGTGACAGTAGCCGGCTTCGGCCGGCTGCTACGTCATCCTTTCTAGAACTATCTTTCTCGAAGTTTGAAAATGCAGTACTGTCCCGCTCCGAGGCGTTGAGCCGGCGGATGCCATGGTACGACCAGCTACAGTGAAGTTTAACTCCTAAAGTTCTGCTCCCCTGAAGTTGCCAAATTCGTTATTTTTGTGCTCCCCTGAAGTTGCCAAATTTCGAGGTGTGGTCTCCACTTTGGTGGCCCCGTTCTGTAGCCCATCAGCCATTGAGAAATCTTGAGGTTTTTTTTCAAGACACCCGATTTTGTACAAGAAACCATAATTCAGCCAAGTTCCTTCAACTGTTCTGACATGGGGCCGCATTGAACCAGTCTTCAGAGGCTCCCATAAATTTCAATTAAAGAAAAAAGAAAGAAAAAGATCGCGAGTGCATGCTGCACGGACTGTCGGACATCCAGTTGGCTGGTGGAATGAAAATTGAAAAGAAGAGTTGATATTTATTGTATGTGTGAAATATATGAGAGAGAGAAACTATGGAGCTTAAGATAATGGAGTGTGATGACAATGATGCATTTGAGAGACTGGAAATGATGAGTTATTAACCCTTTACCGCCCGAATTTCTGGGACAAAAATGGTAAATTTCACTTTTCCGGTTTTTAGTCTCACCTTAAACTTAAAGCTGACATTCTGACCTATCCAACGGTACCAAAATGATCAAAATCATCTCTGTACGGTGATTTATGCCTTGACTACAGTTCGCGAAAGGGTTAGGGGTGGGGTGGGGGAGTTCTTTCATATTAATATATTATATAGGCGAAAATTACCGGCCGGGTATATAGATAGATAGACGACCTGGAGTTGCTGATCTTTAGTTACCCGGCTGCTGTCGTGTGGGATGGTGCTCATGCAGTTGTTCCCACCATCTTTGACTGAACTTCAGCTCCAGTAACTGAGTAACATACAGTTTTATATCCAAGCCACCTTGAATGCCTATTTCGAGGCGCTCAGGACTTTATAATAATAATAGCGGTTTCACCGTTTCAGCATTTATTAGGCTGTGCCGCTGTAGGCCTGTTGTCGATTCTTAACATCGCAGAACATTCACAGCATTTTGAGGTCTTGAACTCGCAATGCACTGCTATAATTCTGCTGTGCTTAACCGCCAGTCCTCCTTGCCAATTCTGACCAGAAACTGGCGCACAGAGCTGGGATCAAACCCGCGCTTCTCTGCGCCAATCTTGCCTCTTGGTACTCTGAACTGTAACCACTGGACCATCTTGCCACGCTCTACTGAACATTCACACTTATTGTCACTGCAAAGTGCAAACCTATCTCCTCCTAGCTCCTAGAGTTTTTAGCTACAGCGCAATCCGCAATGAGAAATATACTGTTCAATCCACAAATAAAAGATCTAGAGATTGGTCATAGCTTTTTTTCAATTTCGTTATAGTTTTGAAAATATTTTGAAAAAAGGGAGAAGGGAAATTCGAAAGGGTGGGGGGAGAAATCAGAATTTTTTCAAAAAATGTCCACTCTGCAGTCAACCCACAAAAATTAGAATTTCAAAAAACAGCAAGCGTGAGCAAGGACCAATCGATAGACGATAGATATGGTCCTTACGCATCGAATGATATGTGTCTCGATGTTTTAGCTTGAAAATCCTTGGAGGAGATACTGAGATAGATTTCTACAGTACCCCCCTTTAAAGTGGTTTTTCTAAGAATTTCACGTTTTCTTTCACTTTTTTCAAAAAATTCACACAAACAAAAAAGTCTTAGATTTATCTTTTACATAGGTGTATCAAGTTTCAAAGTGTTATGAAAAGTTCTCTGCAAATAAACGAAATAAAATTTCCACAAGAAATTGGAAATTGCCATTGGAAATTGGAAATTTTATTTCAGTTATTTACATACTGATAACTTTGAAACTTGGTACACAACTATACATATCCAAAAAATAAATCTAAGACTTTTTTTATTCATGTGAATTTTTTTGAAGAAAAGGAAAAAAAACATGAAATTATTAGAAAACCGATGGTTTTTAGAGCCTCTAAAAAACCATCAGTTTTCTAATAATTTCATGTTTTTTTCATTTTTTCAAAAAATTCACATGAATAAAAAAGTCTTAGATTTATTTTTTGGATATGTGTACAAGTTTCAAAGTTAATTAGAGGGGACTTGAAAGTCCAATTTGGTGGTAAAGGGTTAAAGGATGAAATCATAGACGGTGTGTTGTTACTGTTGTAGCCTAGTCACCAATCAGCCATGAACCACTAGGCTTTGTCTTCCTCCGGCCTCGCATAGAACCTGCCGTGCACCACCAGGCGGCGGATCGAATCTGACTTCTGAGCATCGTTAGATTATGTAATTTTATGTTTACCTCATCTCAGGTTTTCAGATAGGGAAATAGCATAGTTCTGTCCCTAAATTTATCGTCCTTTGACAAGTGGCTGTTCGACCAAGGGCTGGTTCGACCCATGGCCTAGATACAGATGGCTTGAAGAGTTGAAGTGTTGAAGGCTACGTTCCGGAAGGCAGGAATCATGATGCCCGATGATGGTCCATTACATCCAGGCTCCAGGGCAGTGGTGGTCTTTGGCCGACAGCAGGCAACCCTTAGTCTGAGAAAGGCAGACAGATGCATTGAGAATTTTGTGATGATAGTGAGACGTGGCCTGTGGGTATGTCCGCGTGGGTGACCGAGAATGAAAACTGGGAAGTGATATTTGGAGAATACATGTATAGTGTGGAATTTAGAAAATACATAAACATGGAGATTGGAGAGTGCCAGAGGGCAGGCTGCAGAGTGGGACTGTGGAAGGAGAGCCTAAGAGGTTAACGAGAATGGAGGCTGCTGGCTCCCAGTCCCGGCTGGATGGGTCAGGTGAAGGGTCTAGGGTGTAAAGAAATAATCAATAATAAAATAAGAATAACTAAAACAATCACAATGTAATAGGACATGAAACAAATATTTTTGGCCTAAGAGATACAATCTCCATCATAGTCATACCATATCTTATGATATCTACAAGAAACTTTGAAAACTACTGTGTAATAAAATGAATAGGGCATATCAATAATAGACTAAATAAATTTCTGCTACCCTTCTTTTCATCTTGCCCTTACCCTTAATCCTTAGGCTTAACACAAACTTTTATACATTGTACCTCCCTAGCCAGTAGCCCCTGCTTTGATATTGCTGCTACCAGCTCTTCGGGCATGTTTTCCCTCTTCTCCCTGGTTCCCCTACTGGCTAATAACTAGAGGTACTAGACAAATATTAATAATTGATGCTTGCCATGCATAGTGTCAATGGCAAAGCGAGCGAGAGTTTTTTAGACTCTCCCTCAAGTTCATTTTTGAGTCCCATAAGTAGACCAGTAAAGTATCCTGGATAGTACCAGCCTTATCATACATAAGAAATTGGTTTAAATCTTAGTTAAATGAGGAAGTTAAAATGAACTGATTCTGAAAAATTTCTGGTTTGTTATTATGTTAAATGCCATGGCCAATGAAAAGACCTAACTTCTGAATATTGTATTTCATAGTCATTAGTTAATACCCCCCAAATTCTTCGTACCTTGACATAAGGGGGAAAACTTATGTGTACAGTCATGTGGGAAAGATTGTTGCTTTTTTCTAATTGTTTCACTTCCATATAGTCTCTTAATTGCCGGCACCGTAAAATGGGGTAACTTAGACCACTTTTTTTTCATAAATGATGCCATTTTTTTACCAGCTAAATTAAACTTGAATTGAAACATGCAAAATACAGGTCTATACTCTAGCTTCACTCACCATAAATGGCTGGCTCCTGCCTTTCATAGTCTTTATGTAATTTCAAAAAAAGTGATGGTCTTTGTTACCCCAGCTCTTGGGGTAACTTAGACCGGGTGGTAAAATCAATTATATTTTTTGGTAAAATAACTCCAAATAACTCCAGGTTTTGGTGCATTGTAGTAGAACTCTTCTAGTTACATATGCAAATGACTAACTTGAGGAAAGTGTCACAGTTTGCAAATGGGGGGTCCCACCCCCCAGGTGGTCTAAGTTCCCCCAAATGGGAGAACTCTGACCACCTAATGGCAGCCCTGACAGGGTTAACATAGACTGGCCTGGAAATTAAGTTAAATTACCATATATAAGACTCTGTAGAGTCTGAAACCTAAAGAAAAACATAAATAGGCTGTCAAACATAAAATATGTTATATATGGTAATTTTATATTAACTTCCAAGCCGGTCTATGTTACCCCGTCAGGGCTGACATTAGGTGGTCTAAGTTACCCCATTTGGGGGAAAAATAAAAAAATTGGAGGGGGTACTCTGACAGGCTTTAAATAATAGCTTTTTTTCATGGGTCACATTTTTAATTTTTTAACCTATTAGATATGCAAACTTTTCAAATCTTTCTATTGTGTTATGTGGCCTCAGTATTAGGCCTTTAATGCCCATTGATAAAATTTTTCTATGTCAAATAGTTTTTGAGTTGTGGGGGTTTTTGTTAAAAAACGAAAAGTGGTATAACTTACCCCGCCGGTCTTAGTTACCCCATGGCATTAGTTTATACTTTATAGTTAGCAATAAGTCATGTGGATCAGTAGTTACAGTGCAGTGTTTTTCAAACATTATGTAATTTTTCGAGAATTTGCTGGTAGAAATCTTGCCAGGAGTGTTATTTTATGTAAAAAATTTGTGTATTAAATAAAATACTCTTAGATCAAATCAGAAACGCTATTTTAATAGATCTTATAGATCTTGTAAGTTTGTGTATGATAGCAATTTGTTTGTAGACTGCACCATGAATCACTCTGAAAGAGATCAATTGAATGGTACTCCTGAAAGTACCTCTGACATGTTAAATCGCCACAAAACTGAGAAAAAAGAGTTACAAGGTGAGATTTTGAACTCTGTTACCAGCATTAGCCAAGCGGCCCAAGCCAATTGCTGTTTGGGTCAATTGGGTGTTTGTGTTTATGGTATTTAAAATCTTTACTCATAGGTTGAATTTTAGAAGTACGAAACATGTATTGGGCATAAATCCATCACACTACAGGACAGATTTGGAAGGATTGAGACTGGCCCGAGATTGATTAGCCACTTGGGCCATGGCTAGGCCTCAAAACTGGCTTACGCATTTCCACTCTGCGCATGTGCTTGGATTGAGACTGAGTTCCAAATGGGCTACTGCTCTGCTGTGCAAGACATTTCAGTGCATATATTGGAGCAACAGCAACTCACAACCTGCTGGGACGGAAGTCAGTGCAGCACTCCCGCAAAGAGTGGCTTACTCACTGATCAAAGATTGAACAGTGCTTCATTCATGAGCCTGTCTTGATGGGCCAAACATCAAGACAGGCTTAATGTCCTTTCATGAGCCTGTCTTGATGGGCCAAACATCAAGATGGGCTTAATGTCCTTTCATGAGCCTGTCTTGATGGGCCAAACATCAAGATGGGCTTAATGTCCTGTCATGAGCCTGTCTTGATGGGCCAGACTGCCTCAGACTAGCCTGAAAAAGCCAGTCTTTCAGGTGTCAGTCTCATAGTGGAAAAGGGCCTTGATTTTCTAAAGATTGCACCATAAAAATAGTGCCCATTGCCCAACTGCCCATTACCATAACAATGAATTGATGATGATATCCAAACTGAAAATTTAGGCATAACTTTACAAGTCATCAATGATTGAGACAAAAATTTTTGTGCTTATCCCCAGGGTTGGCAATGATTAAATAAAACTGATTAAATCATGTGATTGAATCACTTGATTTTTTATAAATCACTTGATTTTTTTTCTTTGATTTATTTTGAGGTATTTTTATTCATGGTTTAGTATAAATGTACTATGACAAATTGGAATATAAACCTGTTGCCTTTAGTCTTAGTGTGTATTACGTTCCAATGAATCGTATGTTTTTGTACAGAGGCATCAAGTGTTGCAATACATTGTACATATAACTTATGCCAATATTCAGGAGCACTAAAGTGGACAGCCTTTAATAGAAATGATCTATTTTACCAACAAAACTAAGCAATATCTTTCTACTTTCTAGCACAATGAGAACAGTTTTGTAATTCTGGCAATAAAACCATATAAATCTTATTTCTGACCAGTATTATAGGGCTTTTAGCCACAAATGGCAAGGTATTTGCACTTTGCAGTTGTCCTGTATAGAGAAATTATAAAATTGCCATTTGAAAAAAATTGGTTTAGGTTTTCTCCTAATGACTTGGGAAGAACTGGATGCTCCACTCTAACATTTTAAGTTATTTTCACCAAAATGTAGGCATGTGAATGTCAAACTGCATATCATATAAAAACTCATTTTCATAAGATTCTGTTTGATGAAGAATGGATTTGTATGATTTTTTTTAATATTGGTCTCTCTAAAATTAGTATAGTTGCTGCAATACCGTAGGTAGTTCTGAGAGAGAATGCATATTGATTGATTTAAGTCAAAAAGTATGACATAATCTGTTGCATATTTATATGATCTAAAACTATCATTATATGCATCAAAATCTTTAACTAAGCACTCTTGCCTTTGATGTTAAATGAAACTTAGTGATATTTTATTCATTAATCCAGTGAGTATTTAAGACAAGAGTTATGAATGCAGAATGTCATGTCACATTTCATAATTGAGTACATGTCCAAGCTTCTAGAATATTTAGAGGTAAACATAAGCATTGGATATTGGAGTTCCTTCCAATCATTCATGTTCATGCACTTTTAACAATTATGTAATTGATTTTTCTTTTCAGGTACAATACAAAAACTGAAAAAGAATGCTCAGAGTTGCAAAAAAAAGAAGAAAGAAGCCTTGGAAGAAATAGCTAAACTAGAAGCTGACCTTAAGAAGCGTCATGAGATCGAACTGGCAGATTCAGCATGTAATCAAGAAAAATCTGCGTTGTCAGCTAATGAAGCGGTATGATTGTTATAAATGTATGCCTTGTATGGGTAATTGTTATTAGTTGATAAAAAAATCAATAGAAGTGGAGTAGGTATATTATTCTTCTTAAACCAATTCATTAATATTCTATACCTACTTATTCATAACCATTGAACAATGAAATATTGACAATGCTTATACATTAGAATAAGATATAACTATGTCTAAATTCTTTCATTCTACATGCTCAAGCTACATTCTACAAGCTCAAATGTTCTACAAGCTTTCATTCTACAAGCTCAAATGTTCACCACTATCCTTACAGATAGATACCTTACTTCTGTACAGGTTGATGATAAGTTAGCAACTCTGAGCCTGTCAGACGACACTCCAACTACACTTGAAGATAAAAATAATCTCTCTCAAAAAATTAGTAAGTTCAGCAGCAATAAATTTTGTTTCATGCCTTATGGAGTTAACTGGAATTCATATTCAAACTTAATCTGATGGCAGGTGTTGAATATGATTTTTTTCATGTGAACAGGTGAGATCTGTATACCGTATATCCATATAAAAATGAGTTAGACATATGAATAAAGTCAGGTGATATTGCAGCATGCAACCATTGAAAATTTAAATGTTTTTGAAAATTTATTATCATATTTTGTTCTATCTACACTGCCCAGCAGATTAGATGTTCATTGTGCGTGGAAGATCATAATGCATCTAAATTATGCAAGAAATGTTCTCAGGTTTATATCATGTAAAATTATATAATTGGGTAGATTTACCATAAAGGCCAATTTTACACAATAAGATTGTGTTATTGATTGCTGCTTTCAATTTCAGCAGGAAATTTATGAAACGAATTGGTCATAATTGAAATTGTAGATTTGGACCAATGTCAATTTAATGACATGTTGTTTACAAGGCACTCCGCACTGTATTAATGGCCATCTTGAAAGTAATGGAAATAGTATGTGAATATTGAAAATATATTAAACAATAATTTAATGATAGCTAGGCATGTGCAATTAACAATTAGTTTGATGAATGCAGCAAAAGTTTCCCGAGCTGCCAAGCGACGAGCAAAAAAGGAAGATGCAGCGCAGCAGAGGGAGGCTGAGCTGCAAAAGGAGCGCGAGTTCCAGCTCCTGAACAGTCCCCGGTCCATTGAAGCTCGACTTATGACAAAACTTATCAAAGAAAGAAATCTCTCTGTCACTGAAGTGCAACCTGATGGTAATTGGTAAGTCAGCTATATTTTCAAATCCAATACCAATATATATATTTCTTAGGGTAATTTATGTAATTTTACATGCAATGTTCATTTCTGGTACTGAATGAGATCTTGGTAAGAAATTGTGTATGAATATTGATCCTGATTAACTTTCTCTCCGTTGATGTCCAGTTCTCACAGCTTTGTCTTATATGGAATATTTAATTTTGCTTTCATATCTTGCATAACTTATTGTCTCTTAAAAAAGGTTTATAATGGTACTTAGTTTTTCTCTTAGCAATTTAGTTTTATGTTCTAAAACTAGCTGTGGTATGAGCTCTTACGGTACGAGCTGTGATCGACATGGTGACAAATGTATGTTGGTGGTTCAATAAGTTATATGTGTTTACAACCTTGCATGTATTTTCTCTTGCAGTATGTATTCAGCTCTATCACTTCAGCTGGAAGGATCCAAATCAATGGAAAACCTCAGGAATTTGGCTTCTGATTATATGTTAGAGCACAAAAATGATTTTTTACCATTTCTCACTGATCCTGAGTCTGGCAACCAGCTGGATGAGAGCGCCTTCCTTGACTACTGTCATAAAGTCGCCAGCACGCCGGCCTGGGGTGGCCAGCCTGAGGTGAGAGACGATACATTCCAAAATCATTGCAGTAAGATTTTTATTACGCTGTATTTTGTTCCAGGCTTTCAATTTATCTTCATAATTTTGCTTCTGACCAGCAGGACTTATTAAAATAATTGTCTGAGGTTGTGAATGAACTGATCTGTTATTGGCGGCGATGCAGTCACTATAATAGAACTTGTAGAAATTTGGTCCTTTTTATAATCCATAGCAAAGTCAAAGGCACATCGCTTTTAAATAATTCTGAATTGTTCAAACATCAACCTGTTGATAATACTCAAGAAAATGAATTAGCTGGTGTAATAAGCATGTTGTTTATTTTCGATTATTAAGTTGAATATTATTCATTCATGACGATTATTTGTATACTTTCTCACTTTTTCTGAGTTATCATCACTCATATCTTACTGAGAAACTTTTCCTTGCAGCTCCGAGCCCTATCTCAAGTTTTAAAGAGAAAAATAGAAGTCTTGCAGGTCAGTTTAATAGCTGTACGATCTCTTGGAACCGAATCATTTCTTTGTACGATGCTTAAAAGTATATATTGGTTTGTGATCATCCCTCAGCCTCCTAAAGTATTTTTATGGCATATTATGTTAGGATTAAATGAACTTTAAAGAACTTTTTACATACACGGCTGATGAAACTTCTTTTTCACTGGATTACATCTACAGACTTTACATCCGAGGATCAAATAAAACCTCGGAAATACTTTTGAACCTATTTTTGCCTTCTGTTTGAATTTGAATCGGTTTATTACCTGCTTAAATATGGAATGATAATGTATCATAATGTTGAAGTTATGTGTTTCAGGCTGAAGGCGCTCCCATGGTGCTGGGGGAAGAGTTTGGAGGAGAGGCTCTGCTGCTCGCCTACTATCGTCACAGCTTCAGTCTTGGCGAGCACTACAACTCGCTGCACAGGAAGCCCACCGAGTCTCCTCTCGCTTTGTCATAACTAACTACTATGTCCATATCTCAACAATTCATTCACCGCGCATCAATATTAACCTTATATCAATATTGTTCATTGGAATGATGTTATGATACTGAAAAGTTATTTAACGTGTCTGTTGTCACTTAAATTAAAAGATTTGAGTATATGATGCATTGCACAACCAGTGATTACTTCAATTTACATTTGATTGAAGTAATTGCAATGCACTATACATAAATTTATCAGTGTGAAGTTCACGTGAAAGATGGTCAGGGTTTTTACTTTATTAATTTCATGTCGGTATTCTTAAATGTTCTCATCGTCTCTAGAAAAAGTTGTGAATAATTGAGCGTTAGAATCTAGTGTGACTTATCCATACATTTTCGTCTACTAACTATAATGTAATAGCGTTCTGCGTCGCGATGGCTGCGTGTGCTGTGGTTTTAGGTATATCCTTTTAGGCGCAAGGCTTCCATGTGTTATTTCCTAATTATTTGCGTCACTGAAGCGTTAGTATTGCATAGCGTAACAGTTGCTGGCGTTATATCAGGTGACACAAATTTTAGTTTTTTTTTTTTTTAACGAAACTTTCTCTCGAGTTCTGAGCTAAGACGGGCGCAGCGGTGATCGATGAATTCATAATTTTAAATTACAATGCACATACTTCATGAATCTTCTGATTCGTCCACTTCCGTTGTATTCTGTATTTGTAGTAAAGTTTTTTGAATGGAAATAGAAACAAAGAAAGTTAACATCGCAAAGAAATTATTAAAAAAAAGTACAGCGTTCCTTGCATGAATTGTCGCTCATATTTACTGGAATTTACTTGTAAGTTTCGCAAATACGAACGAACATACGGTCGCCGAGGACATAACCTTGTGATCGAGACAATAGTGTGCCTGATTTCAATTTAATTGAACGATGTGGAAATTATGAAATCAAATTTCTTAGGTTTATTTAAAGTGTAATGCTGTGAATTAAAGATAATACAATGCTTCACTAAAACATTCGATATTGAATTGAACAACAATTTATACTTTTCTTATGCTATGAAATACATCGACTTCTTGCACATTCAGAGCATGTCTAACAAACTGCGTGCCGGGGAAGGCCACAAGATCCAAATACAAGCATTGCACTTGATATTTTAAGCGACTGCTTATAAACTAGCACAACTTGAGCAGCAGGAAGACGTAGCTTCGACACGAAGAAGTAAGACTCAAACCCAAGGAAAATGTTCAACAAGTGCAATCGAGCTACGCTCTTCCATGGAGGTGTAATATGCGAGTATGGAGGCGTAGCCAAATGTGCCCCAACAGATGTAATATTCTATCGAGACGTCGCTAATGTTTCAATAAAATTACTTAGCAAGTAGAGAAGTTTTATAAACTATTACATTTCTCACATTTTAAAGAAGCAATTCAAAAATATTAATATGTAACTGTTAGGTTAAACTTGATACGCTACAATTCGTCGTTTTCACGGCTGAATGATACACTACGAAATGTCGTGAAGGAATGTATGAGCAACAGCACAAGTTATACAACTCACACTGCCCGATAAATAATGCATCTCACACACAAGAACATCTCGGCTCTCTTCTAAATAACAAATATGAAGCTCGCACTACTCGAGCAATATTGTAGGTAGGAACTAGGACTTGAGGGGCGGGGGCGAATGTCAGGAGTCTTCATTTCAGCTACGACTTCACTCCAGATGCGCTGCCGTCACCTGTTGATAAATCGGTAATAATCATCATAAGACTTCGGGGGCTCATCAAAACAACAATATATTTTATGGCTATTGGAAATAGCAATTAGAAATTTTTTCAATAAATACAGTCTATGCTGGGCTTGAAGGAATTGCTGACAAACGCTTGAGTGTGCCTAAGCTTGCATTGAACCACGAGCAGCAAGCGAAGCTGAGAAGACTACTCTCATAATAATAATAATAACTATAATAATAGCGGTTTCAGCGTCCATGAGGCCGTTAGACCATAGTCAACTAGAAATAAACTATGTCCTTACATCTCAAGATAAATCGAAGATTGGTACTTTGTACAACATTGCACTTACTTGAGCTCAAGGAGGCTTTCTTTATAATCAATGCATCAGGTGTACTTCTGTCGGGGAAAGAAAATATCCATATTTATTCTTCATGAACAGCAATAAGAAAATGAGATAGCAACCATATGCTCAGCTAGAGCCATCCCGACGTGGTTGACAGCTCCATTGTAACCGTATTTGAAATCATTAATGTTGACTAAAGCCCTAATTTAATATAGACGTGTTAACTATCTATGTTGAATGGATAATTATCACATAGGGTATCGAGTATAGATTAGACACTAATACACTGTCGATGCACGTATGAGGGAATTTTCGATTCGAGTGGTTCACCTGAAGCCAAAATGACACTGCAATGACCAACCTAGGAGACAGAAGAAACAAAATAATATTTATGAAGGGCGAACTAACGGTCGGGATGTTGCGTCGCAGGCGGGCTCTTCAGCGCCATCAACGATGCGTTCCTCTTCAGGGAGGGCGTCGTTGACCCAGCCTTTGCTCCTCATGTATGGCAGGATCAGCACGTCGTTGTAGATGAACATGCCGAGCACCAGCACAATGAAGCCGATGGGCTGAAAGAACACGCTTTCCATTAGAATAATATTACAGTGCGGCAGTGGTTCCCAAACTTTTTCAGGCTGGCGCCCCCTTTGGCTCTGTAGTGAATTTCTAGCGCCCCCCACAGACACATATAAAATCATGCGCCTCTTTCAAGAAAATTTAGTTCGCTGCAATTTTGAAAGATAAAGGTTAAACACAAATGTGTATTTCACAAATAGAACCCCTTTTAGGGAACCAATGTGTTTTTCAGCTATTTTAACTGTTTCAGCACTAGAAACCTAGGACGTCTCGGGCAAATTTACGGCCGGTCTCACGACCAATCTCCAAATTCAATTATCAAGGAATATCACCCAAACTAATGGAAGCAGCTCAATAAAACTTGGAACATGTATTCATCAGAACTTAACGGTGACGTTTAGCTTGCGAAAATTTTTTAAATATCACCTTCATTCGTGAGTTATATTGCGATACAGGCCGAAATTCGCAGTGATCAAAGAATTTCTTCCAAACTACCAAACAGATTCGAACGAAATTTTGAATATACATTAATAACTACCAAATGGTGTTTTTAAGAATAAAAAAATTTTTGATTTTACCGTCGTTTGCGAGATTTTTTTTCATTTCACCGTCATTCTTGATTTCACACTTCCTTATTCGCTTTCGTTCGCAAGTTATACAAATATAGGAGGAACGACCGGCTGGTTTAACCAAGAGCCGTTTACGGTAAGCCGTATAACTCACAAACGAAGGCAAAACGAAAAAATTGTAACGAACTAAACATGACCGTTGCTGAGGTTAGGTATTAAAATACTAAATTTCGTTCAAATCTGTTCTGTAGTTTGCAATAAATTTCTTGATTACTGCGAATTTAAGCACGTATTGCCGTTTAAATCACAAATGAAACTCGCGAACGAAGGCACAATCGAAAAAATTTTCAGGAGCTAAACATCACCGTTCGGTAGTTAGGACTGTAAATTCAAAATTTCGTTCGAATCTGTTCAGTAATTTGGAAGAAATTCCTTGATCACTGCGAATTCGGCCCGTATTGTCATATAAGTATGGCAAAAACAATTGAAGGCAAAATTCGAAAAAATTTCACACGCCCCTAGGGGGTGGCGATATCGCCCACTTTGGGAACCACTGCAGTACGGTATTCACACCCAGTATAATTTAATAAATAATAAACTCGTGTTTGGAAATATTGCAAGTGTACAATCTACATCTAACTAAAACTGTAGATATGTATATATTCAACGGGATGTACAAATATGATAGGAAGAAAGTGATATCTCTTTAAATAAATTGTGACACAATTCTCATCCCGTCAACATCGCGCAAAGATGAATCAGTGCTGCGGTTTGGAATGCCAACAACCTAACTTGACGGCACAGTATTGTCACATGATCTGCAGTAGGAATGCATGGTTTTGTTTCCTAATTACCATAAAGACGCAGGGCCGAGAAGATTGATTACCAAATCGCATGTAGGCAATGGAATGCAACAATGCGTTCGAAATTTACCAGGGAGACAAGAAAAGATTGACTGCACATTACCTGCAGATAGTGGAAGGGCTGCCACTTAAGTGCGAGAGATGTGAGCCACACTACGAGCGTCCTGACGGAGTCGAGCACCATGCGGGTGGTGGCCGACAGTTCCTTCGTCACCGAAACGCCCGCAAAATTGAAGAACGCTATACTGATCACGTTGCCTTGAAAAAACATAAACACGTTTAAGTTGATGTAAAAAGTTGTCACTGGTTCAGTCAACCAATATTGAGCTTAGTTGAAGCCCTTTCTACACCTCCAATGAATTCATTACTAAGGAGTAATGAACAAGCAGTCAAATCCCTGTGGCCGATTATAACCATGGAGACAATAATAAAAAAAAACACATTTTAAATAATTCACAGTAGTTCACCATTAAAGATAATTATTGATGGAATAGAATGTGTAGGTACCCAAGACGGCGACCACAAGCATCGGGTTGTTGCTGAGCTGGATGAATGCATCGATGGGGTCCTCTAGCGTGCCGCGAGGATTGCCTGAGAACATCCCTGCTGGGATGTAGTAAAACGGCACCAGCAAGATCGTCAGCGTGATGAAGCCGAACAATCCTGAGCACAAGAGCTGAGTCAATTCCGAGGTGAGGTTTGAAATGTATTTTTTTATCTGTAAAAATGCAGCTGAACAGTGTCCTAACAATACTTAAAATGTAATCAAACTGAATAATTTAGCACAGCAGTGAATTTAAACCGAAAACCCAATCAATAACTGTGATGTACCTATATTAAAATAACAAGTTGAAGGATGAATGCAGCAAAAGGTATGTAATAAGGGACGTCATTGTTTGTATTGTAATTATATTCATTCAATTTATTCAACGTCATGCGCACCGCATGATGTAGAACGCAGCCATGCCTTGTGGAAGAAACATTTTTCAGTCTCACCTTCCCAGCCGACGGCTAGCAGAGCAGGCACCGTGTGCTTGGTGAGGAAGCGCTGCTCCACGACCATCTGAGTGGCTGTCACCACCTGCGCCGCTATGATCAGCAGGTCTCCTGTAAACCAAAACATTATCTTTAGAAACGCAAAACAATATAAGATAAACACTAAATTTCGAGTCATTCAATGGCTCGTTTCTTAGATTTGAAAATACTTAATTTGAAAGAAAAAGCAACATATCACGCATATTATCAAGGAAAAAGCAACATGTAATGCATATTATCAAAGAAAAAGCAACATACAATGCATTATTATTAGTTGAACAATCAAAAACTCTATTGTGAAATATGCATGCGTTCCTGCTTCAAATTTAACGGATGTTTCCTGATACTGACAGCAGAAAATGTAAAATGAAATCAATTAGTTGCAAGCATTTTTAAATTATTAATAACCTGGTGTATAGTTATATCAAATATACGGCGAATAACTGTGAGGTTTGCTAAATCAAAGGCAGAAAACTCGAACCACATTCAGGAAATTCATTCTCGAGACCTGGCGATTTACTGCGGGAAGACAAGTGTGAAGACAAGTTATCGTGACAAGTTACATACTAGTAGAAGACAAGTTACCGTGACAAGTTACTAGTAGAAGACAAGTTACCGTGACAAGTTACCCGTGACAAGTTAATAGTAGAAGACAAGTTACCCGTGATGATGCCATTAGTGTCGAAGTCTTCTGTGTTGTCCCCTAGGAAGTCAGAGACGCCGACCACGACGAGCCCCACGATGACCAAGGCGATGCCCAGCCAGTTGAAGTAGCGCAGCTTCTGGTTCAGGAACGCCACAGACAGCAGACCCGTGAACACGATCACCGAACCTGTCCACAACACACAAGCAAACACACTGAAAAAATATAACTCAGTACTCACTGCAGTGAGTGACAGAGAGCGCATTTTCTCGTCGACGAAAACTTGAGGTCACGGACAGACGGACGGACAGACAGACAGACGGACATGGCAAGCACAATAGTGCATTTTTTCCATAAATGAGAAAATGCGCTAAAAATGAGCGAGACTTCATTAAAAGAGAGATGCATTTTGGAGCGATGACCCATTCATGTATTGGAGTGCGGCGATCCATCGTGGCCTGGGACTGCTACGTCCGAAACAAATACCAAGGATACCAAATGCGTTGCAGTTTACCCGTACTAGAACGACTACTTATGCACACAATCAGGCTATCAGCAACGTTCAATACATCTTAAGTAACTTACGATAAAAACCTCAATTTTATCTGGTTTCAAAACTAGCTTGGAAATGGAGATTTCACTACCGTAAATTGCACATGTTTTATACAGTAGAACTGCAGTTTAGCATGTACCCATGACTAGGAGCTTTCAACATCATCAGATATTCTCTCGCAAATCAACTACTTAATACAGCATAATTATTAAATTAAGCAACACATTAATCATGGTATATGATCGAGCATACCTCTCAACATCTGGAAGGAGCTGGCGTAAGTGAGGGTGAGGCCGACGTACATGGTGGAGGTGGCGACCATGTCGCAGAAGGCGGGTACGTAGAAGATGAGCGGCGGGAAGTTGGTTTGTTCCTCGGGCAGCGACAGCTCGGCGTTGTTGCGGCGACGACGTCGGCTGCGAGCTACGCACCGCATGATGTAGAACGCAGCCATGCCTTGTGCAAGAAACATTGCAACGCCATTATACGGTACGTATACTTAGCGAAGACATATGGACTAGAACGCAGCCATGCCTTGTGCAAGAAACATTGCAATGCCATTATACGGTACGTATACTTAGCGAAGACTTATGGACTAGAACGCAGCCATGCCTTGTGCAAGAAAACATTGCATGCTATTATATACTTAGCGAAGCCTTATGGACCTCATATGTTGCATAAACAATATTCGGATTAGCTCACTTTATTGGATGAAAAGTTGTAAATGAAATTGTTTCAGGTTCACAATAAAAAATATATATAGACATGAAATATTTTAGATGTTCGAAACTGTTCATCAAATAAAAATATAGCATTACACATCTAACAATTTCTAGTCTTAAACAAGGATCCCGAATGCAAGAATTTGTTTCCAATTTGACGATAAAACCGCGTGTGTAACGAGGGCTGCAGAGCAACCGAGAGTTCGCAATAAAGTAACATGCCGCAACGGGCGCAAGACAAAAGGAAGGACACTCACAGGACAAGGAATAGACAAAAGGAAGGACACTCACAGGACAAGGAATAGACACAAGGAAGGACACTCACAAGGACACTCACAGGACAAGGAATAGACAAAAGGAAGGACACTCACAGGACAAGGAATAGACAAAAGGAAGGACACTCACAGGACAAGGAATAGACAAAAGGAAGGACACTCACAGGACAGCTCGCCCAGGAACATCGCGTCGGCCTGGAAGAAGGGATGGTTGAAGTGCGCCAGCTCCCCCTCGCTGTTGATGCTTTCCATCCGGTCCGCCCATCTGTAGGCAAGTTAAGCGGGCCGTCTGCATCATGCCAGCTCTCGCCAGTATTAATTTAGTAAACAAATACGGGCTACATTTATCACAGACGTGGTGAAGTAGATGAAGGTAGATGCAATCTTTCAACGATAACAAAATGGTAGAGAAAGATGGGCTACATTTATCACAGACGTGGTGTGAAATAGACAAAGGTGAATGTCATCATTCAATAATAATAACAAAATTGGTAAAGAAATCCGAGTTCCATTTATCACTAACGTGGTGTTGAGTAGATGAAGGTGGAAATGGCGCAAAGATTGAATGTCTTCTATTTTCACCGATTGCATGTTGAGCGTTCAATTGAGTAAGAAAATTATACATTTGGGTGCAAAATCTACATGAACGTTAAATTCATCTTGCATTAACGATACCGTCAATGCAAGTGATTTCGAAGCAAACAATTATGTCAGTAGAGATGAAACGTAAAATAAAATTACAAAAATAATTCCAAAATACTAGCCAGACATTTTCAATTACATATTCAGTATAAATCAGAATCAAATTTACTCGATTTGAATCGTTTTACTGTAATTGAAACCCGTGTTACATATCGTCCAACTTCACACCCAAAACAAAACACAATTGCGTATATATAAGCACAAAGTAATGCAGGAGTTTCCAACAGTGGCCGGCTAAACTCTTAACTAAAACATATAAAAAAATCAAATCCCGTTTATAGAAATCAGAAGACAAGCCAAACGAAAACTCCGATCGTTCCCGTTGCAATGAAGAAGTCAGGCTACGCTCTATTTCTTTGCCAGTGTCAGCAACGATAGAAAAGAACGCTATGAATTTAATGCAAACGTGCAGCCGAATGTTGGACTACAAACGTTGGGACGACGAGCAAGCCCGTTGTTCTCAACTATTTATGCGAAAACACGCGCAATTACAAAACGAAATGAATGCATGTAAAGGCTGAAAATTTTAATTTAACAAATGATTGAAAAAATGGCAGTTAAATGAGTACATTATTTCCTCCTCCAAGGTAGCAAATAAAATACAAATTGAAAATTTCAGAGCAGGCATTCCAGCGAAATTAACTCGTTAACGCTCGTCAGTTCTCAAAAAGGAGGACGGAATACATTTTTTCACTAGCCTCTTGTGCTGCACTCCGAAGCATGATAAGGACGAGATACCTGAACTGATCTCAAGTTGATTCGTGGGTTCTACTCTGACATCGATACCCTGATGGTGTTTCTATCGCTGAGGGTTGGTGTCGAGATACTGTCATGATTTGCAAAGCGATAACATTGCAAAGCGATAAGATAGAAAACTTCAGATGATATTGTGATCAGAGCTAAATTTTCCGCGTTCTCCCATGAAGATATTGCGGTCGGACCTTGAAAAATTCCATTTTAATTTGTAACAACAGTGGAAAACACAAGCAAGTCTCGAGATGTAGTCGCACAATTACAGCCGTTCTTAAACGTTAACTAAAATTGTAAAAAAACGCAATAAAGATTGAAAGATGACTGGTGTGAGACGAACCTTAATTAGAATAACCAAAAAATTGTATTATGATATTAAAAAAATCTCGTCACCCAGTCTCGTGGGTGACGGATGGTTATAGAAATGGCTCGCCAGATGGGTACTATGACATCATGAATGCAGATCATTTATAATCAATTTTAATCAACAGAGCGAATTATCGTCACCCAAAACCCGAACGTGGGAAATTGTACGACATAATATCACTAGGGAATCATCTCACGATTCATATGAAAACATGGGATATTCATAACGTACGTAGATTATAGATTCACCGTCATAACCAAATCCACCCAATCTTTTCAACTGCCTGTCTGCCATGAACAACAACAATGAAATTACGAGAGGTAGAGGCGTGGAATCAGGACATCACATGCAAAAATAAATCATGTTCATGTTAGCAGATCTAAATCCACGACGCCACTCATTAGGAAATACGTAAATACACGCAAACTTGAATTAACTAACCATTCGTATCAAATTTCGTTTCGAATTCGCATACAATGTGTGCTGGGTAAGTGTAATAACAGGCTTAATGCGACAGTTTAAATGGCTGACTAAATATCTAAAGTAATTTCAGGCTTGAATAGTGCATATTTAAAACTCTGCAAACCCTGCGGCCCAGCTAAAACGAAGAGTTTACCTAATTTGGGACATCAAATTCACACGTGAATGTACTTACGTAAAACGGTTCCTTCCCTATTAGGTTACAAACAAGATTAAATGAAAACAATTGACATAAAATTAATAAAATTCCCCCCGGTGAAAACACACAACATTAAAACAATCAGGTATTCATTCAACCAACGTTTAACCATTGAAGTCAACCGCTCATACAACCAAACAGTTACATCAAGGAATGTTTCAACGGTTATCCGCAATAAAAACGACCCCACAACGAATACTAAATTTGAATCGAACATAAAAGAACAACAAAAATATAATCAATTTGAACAATAAGCTTGAGGTAGGTAAGCAATTTTTATTGAAGCGGCAGCGAGTTGGGCGGTGAGGCAAGACTTACTTGGTAGATAGCGTATTGATGGAGCCCGTGACCACCATGAGCAGTGCCACGCCCAATTGAAATTTCGTCCACGACATTTTTCTAACAGGTTTCTTCTTAGGAGGCAACAATACCCAACCCTATAAGAATGTATCGTCACAATGTTAGCTGCTAGATCACGCGATCTGGTTTACAGATGAGCGAATGGATGAAAGTTTTCTAGGTGTTAGCTGACGAAAGTAGTGAAAAATTCTATATTATAAATTTAGGCAAAGCAAAAAAAAAGTTATGCACAAATAAACACTCTAGCAAATGTGCACTTGACCTCGACACGTATGCTAGCATTTGGGCGGGGACGGCCAATTAAGTGATTAAAAGCACTGATATTGTGGCAGCGAGTCGAGGATTCGATCGCAGGTAGAAGAAAGATGGCCGGGTGGTTCAGCACACCGAGATTGAAGCACAGAGTTATGGGCTCGAGACCCGCAGCTGGTTGTTAAAATTCTACAACATCTGAAACCGACGACATGCCAAACATGGCCTACCTTCAATGGTGACTAATACTTATGACCAGGCAGACACATACAGGGTAAGTCGGGCTTTTCTGATTCAACGTTACATGCTCGAAATGCTTTCGAAAAATAACGTAACTTGGCATGCACATAAAATCAAACGAGCGATTGACTCACGTTGCGAATTAATTAAGGAAGAAGAATAAGAAAGTGAACCATCTAGAAACTAAAAACTACCATAAGCCTTAATGTGTGAGGATAAGTTGAGCAATGAAGAACAAATATCGCCGAGGACAGCGATCTTGCTGGCCGTGATGAACCTCCCACTCCAGGCTGGGTATAATAATATCAATACGCTGAACTAGACGCACTTCAAACTTAGATAACGCGACGGCCTTTACCAACAGATAAGGCAACAAACAACAGCTATCACTTCAGCAGTGAAGCCTAACTGTTCGCTAACTTCAGGTGATCATTTCAAGCAAATGTTGGCACTTGAAAATTTCTACTCGATTTCGATCGCTATTCAAGTCAGCAAGAAAATTGCTTGCTCATATTTGTTCACTTCATTAACACCACTGAATTATAATACGCTTGGAAAATTTAGAAACACGCTAACACGACTCAAAAATAAATCTTGAAACTTTACCTTGACGTTTTGAACCATACATTTATACAACTTTTATGTTCGCCAATTCTCTTCACATATACAGTGGAAATAAGTGCATGTTACATGGAGACCTGCTGATAGGATATATATTATGTACAACAATAGTATACACTTAATTAATGAAGGGGAAAAGAAAGATTACAAAGTATGTCAAGATTAGTTTCAATACATCGCCCAAAACTTAATTGATGAACGCACTGTAAAGGTGACCAAGCTTCGAGAAGAGGCAGCGGATAAATACAGTAGAACATTTTTATACTACAAAAGACACAACAGAATCTTTTCGAAGCTCGCGAAACTTTACGGTATGTAACGCGTTACCTGACATTTGCATCTCCATTCTATGAAAGAAAAAATTCAACAGGCGGAGATAGAGATCACGGTCTGAGAACATCGCGAAGACGCAAGCATTATTTGAGTTTCACCAATAAATATTGGAATACAGTGCCTGAAAAGAACATCTTGAACCAAAATATGGATTTAGCCATTTGTCGATATTACTGTGCAAGAGCGGCATGTTGACAATCGCGATTGAGTTCTATCACCTGAGTGCCACACGATTCGCCTAATGATGCCATATTTTATGACTTGACCAAGACTTGATCCTCCCGAGGTACGCTCATCAAACCGTGAATATAAGGCCAATTTTTGAGCGAGATACGAGTGGATGTAAGCAGGCAACGACTGATTAACATTCTTTTGGAGCGACGAGCGCGACGTGTGAGCACCACAGTAGCCGCCAACGCTAATGATTCAATCGTAGACCTAAAACGCAGCCACAAGATAAGCTCATATCGGTCAGTGATTAAAAATGTCCTTTGGCAAGCCTGATGACATTCGGGGGCATGTTGTCAAGAGACATGCCTTACCGATATCGCACTAACTTAGTCAATTGTATACAAAATAAATGTTAATGAGTCGCTTTTTGATGTCCTTAATTTGTTGACAGAAGCGTATATAGGCATTATCTTAATGATAAAAGGAGTGATCTTAAACTTTATTATTTGTTCGAAGTTTAAAGCATGTCATGTATCATATAAAGGACTACTGACACTAATAATCTTTACATTTAGACACATTCTGTAATAAATACTATCTTATAATGAACAAAAGAAATAAGGTTTAATTTACCTCTACTGCTTTGAAAACCGCCCATATCTACTTGGTCAGGCACAAAATCATCTACTGAAATACTGAACTGACTGCCCATAACAAGGTTGAACTTACTTGGTTGACATGGTGTTGATGGTCCCAAATATGACCATCATGATGGCGAATGTCATGCTCTTAGCAGTCCAAGTCATATTGGGGAAAGAATTTAAAATTTTATCACGAAAAATTGCAAATTGGCAAAAGTATGAAAAAACAGAGCCCCTTTGAACTTTCTGAACCTGGGAAACAGAAAAAATTGCAAAGTTATGGGCTTTCTGTGAGCAAATCAATTATTGCAACGAATTTCAAACATTGCATTTTCACTAAATTTGTCTAAGACAAGACGAAAACATTTGGTATAACAATGCTACGGTATTGATGAAATTTCTTTGATAAATAGGTCATATGATGAGATTTATCTGCAAACACCGATGCTGGCAGTGAACTTTTATTCTGTTGATTGCACTCAAGTTAGGTAGTAATTTTAATCACTGAAGTTTATTTGTTTAGCTTAAACGGTCGGACAAAGGCGAGTGAGCGTTAGCGTGGGTTACAGGCTTCACAGCGTGGACCAGCCCGGCCTCGAACCAGACCTACAGGTCCCTTTAGCCACGTTTTATTTCCTCAATTCGTAACTTTCCTCAATTTGTAACCAATAATTATGAAATTAAATACCTACATGGTTACACATGCTTGTTGCGCAGTCGCGGCGATTTTTGTTTTCTTTTTTACCTCATCTCCTTTGCAAATAAAACGGTAAAACGGGTGCAAACGGGCAAATTCAGTCCCTTGGCTACGTTTTATTCCCTCATCGAGGGACTTCAAGGTTAGGTCAAGTCAGCAAAGTTCATTTTTATTACTTAAAAAAAGAACTTGGCAGACTTAACCTAACCTGTGAAGACTCTCGACTTCAAAATCGTCGTTTTATGTGTTTTTTATGACCGGGCCCACGATCTGGTATTATTCTGGTATGGGCCCAGTCTGGTATTATACCAGAAATGAATGGGTTTGGTATGCGCCCTTATGGTAATGCCTTTTTATGTAAAAATGTAAAAAAATGATCGAAATTTCGCAATAAGCATGTAAAACCATGTACCTATTTAATTTCATAATTATTGGTTACGAATCAAGGAAATAAAACGTACCTACAGGACTGAATTCGCCCGTTTGCACCCGTTTTACAGTTTTATTTGCAATAGAGATGAGTTAAAAATGTAATAAAAATCGTCGCGACTGCGCAATAAGCATGTGAAACCATGTATTTAATTTCATAATTATTGGTTACGAATTGAGGAAATGAAACGTACCTAAAGGGAGAGCAGGTGTAGAGCAGGTTCAGGGCCGGGCTGGCCCGCGCTGTAACCACCGCTAACGCTCACGCGCTTTTGTCCGACTGGTCTTAGCTTAATGGATACATTTTTATTTGAAATTGGTAGAAGATGCCATGAATGAACTACAATACTTGGAACTTTTTAGTTGGGTTTATAAAATGAGCAACTAATTTTACTTGGAAGCCTATATGTTAGTCTCCAACTTTAACTCGCATTATGCTGACATTGAAGATGCAAGCTATACACATTCTACATCAAGTTCTCTTACATGAGCAACCAGACCACACTTAGCTGTGTGAAACAAAGTAGGGGCAAGTTTTAGGTTGCGTTGCGCCTCAAATGACTCCCTAGATACAACATGATGGCAAGATCTGTGTAGTCTATAATAAGTTGCAAGTTTGATAATCTAACAGCTGCTAACTCAAAGCTTTCACAACAATGCGGTTGCCAAATGAATCCAATCAGTGAATTATGAATCAATTCAGAAACATTCAGTAAATAGGGAAAAAACTCTAGTAAATCATTCTCTCAAGTTGTGTTCTTGATGAAAATGTAGGTGGTAAATCAAGAAAATTATGCAGGAGACCATTCTTTTAGGTAAATATGTTTGATAACTGCCTTCCTGCTCAAATGGTGACAAGTTTGGCATTACTCAATATCAGAAGATTTATTGAACTTACACAGCAAGGTGACAGTTGGCACATGCTTCAATCAGATTCCTCTACTACAATATCAAGAATTGCAATGAACTCATGCAAATTGTCTGGAAGTTTGCTGCAAGGTGCTCCATAGGGTGTAGCTCATGTTGTCTCTACTCAAGGTTTGAAGTAAGTTGGCTTAAGCCAAGCAAACTGCCCATTATTTTCTAGTTGAATGCAATTTATAAAAACACACAAGTACATAGGAAGAAACAAAATCAAGTTTATGGTTTATACTAAAAATTCAAACAAATTTTATGAATTGCATAGCTGAAATTATCCTGAACATGAAACTTCTAACAAACTGCACTTGAACCAGAAATTCAAACTATAGTTCAATTAAAGTTTCTTCAGAGAAATATTAATAATTGATTGAATCTAAGTATTTTAGCACAAGAACACAGGTTTTTAATTGACGAACTTATGGCCAATAATTACTACCTAGTCTTCTGGTGCCCAATGAGGCAATACTTATTTAGTTCACTCTGTTGAATTGTTGGTGTAAAAAGATCTGGTCGTGGCTCAAAAAATAGATATATTCCACGCCAGTTCAGCAACATTTCTAAGAAAGTTCAACTAACTGGCAAACAATAAAAATAAGTTTGCATTTATACTCAGTATATTTGACCATAACTATTTTTTAATATGGATTTGTTTTATTTTGCAAAAATTTATATTATAACAAATTATAATGAAGAAATTAATGTAGAAGGCTATTGTTAAAAAATAGAAATTAAAATGACTCACAAGTCCTACCGGGAAAGCTGGGACCTGATGGAGCCTACGAGTTGAGCATCATGTATAGTACTGGATAGTAACCTACCGTATTTGAAATATCGGCAGAAATTTCCACAGATCGCGAATAAAAACGATCATTCCACCGGTGATTTTGAAAAATTTTGGGTAAAATTAAGCCATTTTAAAAATTTTTCCACTGATGGAAAAAAAGCCAGAGGAACAGATGAAATTGGCCAGATTCATGGGTGTTTTTGACAATTCACAGGCATTTTGGCCGATTCCCTGATGACAAATTTTTTCCTCTTGGAATGAGGATTACTACTGAAAAATCCAGTTTTTACATTTTTAATACCGGTACATTTTTTATATAATAAAAAAACAATTGTCTTTATCTACTTGTATTTCATAATTTATTATTTTGTTAAATACATACCAGTAATGATTTTATTGGTTTGTAATATTTATGTACGTTCATTATATATAAT